TCCGGCTTTTTATCACGTGACTTATCCACTAATCAAAATACGACTTATACAAATCTTCGCACTATGCCAAACCAATGACGTTCGATCGGTATGAGCAGCCTAGTGTCCTTATTGGTCCTATGTCCTCCTAGCCCGTCCGCTTCAGTCCACATCACACCAATACCAGCTTCCAATATGCGAATCGAATCCAATCATTTATTTCAAACATACTCGGTTTATATATCAACCAGACAGACTGCAACGTACCATAAAATACAAAATAACATTTCTACAATATTTGGCCAAATGTGGCTGTGAGCGTGGGAGACAGTAGTCAATAAACTGAACATAGTTTACGAACAGTAAATCGTACAATAATAAATCATGTCAAAATGAAGCTTATAATAAGCGGAATATAAATGTACATAATCTAATTATTGAATAATTATACCATAAGAATATATAGATAATATTAGTCAAATAGTGTCTCAGAAGGTACTCGTGATACGATCTTCGCTCGGATATAACAATAAGCACACCGGTAGCAGTTATATATATACATATGCGCCACACAATAACGATGAGGTCAGTAGCAGTTGTTATTGATTTGTGTCAGGGCTGGGATACTGTCCGGGTGGCCGAACCGAAGCAGGTGGGTTCTCTTACGCAACCAATCCCTATGCCTTCAATCCAGAGGTCTAATCCACAAGGCGATGGAGCAACGTCAGAAGATGTATTCTCATGGCAGACGATGACCGACAATGGGTTCATATGTCATTTGTGTCATCAGGATCCCGGAGCTCATGTGCAATATTGATTTGGAATCAGGCCTTTTCCAACTCCCATAGGCAGGCATGAACTAAACATGGTTGAACTATGTTGTTCATTGATTTCCACTATGATTTTGAGAATTTGTGGTGTTTGAACGAACTAATTATTCTTTTGTACTTTTTGAATGCTCGATTTCGAATTCTAAATACAATGCATGCGTTCGTGCTCGTGTCGTACTTCTCGATTCAATTGCGTTATTTCAGGGATTCTTAGTTCACACTACAATTCATATACCTGTGAATACAATATTGACGTCGCGTTGGAGCCGGCGATGGAAAAGTTACCCAAGCTCCCAAAATTTGGCACATTTTGGGGAAATTACACAAAAACCCTTAAATTTCTCCATTTGGCTTATGGAGTTTACCCGAAATTTCCTCAGAGTGGCAAATGAAAGCTCTTCACAGACTTAAAGTTATGCTACACAAATGCTCGCAGCCCACTAAACAAAATGGCGGAGCTGAAGTCAGTGTTGGATAAAGAAAAACTGGACGTTATTGCTTTCTCAGAAACTTGGTTAACGTCAGAAGTATAATTTAGTGAAATCCGGTTGACTGGTTTCATAACCAGTAGGGCTGACAGATTAAGCCGAAGAGGAGGCGGGTTTATTCTGTACACGAAAAGTACCCTAACCATAAGATTAGCTGAGACAGTAGCACATGTTCCAGTGACATGTGAACTGGTGAGATGTAAGTTGAAATGCCGACGGCAAGATATTGAAGTAGTTGTAGTATATCGCAGTCCAGAATGTGTAGCAGATGGTTTTATCCTAAGTAAACTTAAGTCCAGGCGTAACAACGGTAACAGCCTTCTTGACTTTAATGCACCATATATAAACTTGGTTAACCTAGAAGCAGGGTCATCGATATCGTCGTTCGACTGCAAACTGTTGGAAACCTTGATAGGATTAGCATTATTCCAACGCATTAGAGATCCCACAAGATACGACTAAAGAAACTCTTCTTCTCTTTTGGATTTAGTCTTCACACACGGTGATGACGTTGGTCAAATGGCTTTCTCCCACCACTTGGGAGAAGTGACCATGCAGTCATCTTATTCAAATTAATGGCTGAGATTGCCTGTCAAACAATTGTGCCGGCCCGTTCTAACATATGGAGGGCAGATATGCAGGAAATTGACACCGCAGCATCGGCTGAGAACTAGGAAATTGACTCAAAGGCATCAGAACATAAGGCATAGTTTCTATTCAGGCAGTTATACAATCTGGTAACTCAACCATACATACTCTGGACTGTTCCAAAGAAAAAGAAGCACGGGCGTTACTGGATAGGGCGGAACATTCGACATTTACTAAGACAAAAGAAGAAATGCTGGGGTGTTGCCATCCACCTTGGCACAGCAGGTATTATGAAACGCTACAGATCGACAAGAAACAAGTGTGTAACGAAAATTCGGGAAGCTCAGAAAAAAAAGAAATGCAGTTGGCACATTCTGCATTCAAGCAGCCCAAGAGAGTATTCTCGTACATAAACTACAGTACAAGGATGCATCATTGGATTCCCAACCTAATTAAAGAAGGGGGTGAATCTGAAATGATAGGGGAGGATCAGGAAAAAGCAGAGGCTATGGGTGACTATTTTGTGGCAGTTTTCACTCAGGAACCTCCTCTAGAGAAAGAACCAGACCAAAATAAAGAGTCAACAAACCACCTGCCCACCGTGGACTTCGATCAAGACGATGTGCTTAAGGCTCTTAGCACCATAAACATGGAGAAGTCAACAGGACCAGATGAACTACACCCCAAAATCTTGAGACGTATTGCACAATATCTCACTGCCCTACTGACTGTGATATTCAATATGTCACTTGACTAATGTGTGTTACCTACGGATGGGAAGAACGCAATCGTCACTCTCATACATAAAACAGGATTAAAACAAGTTCCGTCGAACTACAGACCTGTAAGCCTCACCAGTGTTGTAGTTAAAATATTGGAAAGTATAGTCAAACGGACCATAATGGCATTTATAGAAACCAATAACTTGCTAAACATAGAACAATATGGTTTTAGAAAAGGTGTCTTGTACAACGAACCTTTATAGCAAAGGGGTTTTGAATAAAGGCGCTAGACAATGGAAACCCAGCGGATGTTGTCTACACATACTTCAGTAATGCTTTCGACAAGGTGCCAACTAATAGACTGCTATTGAAGTTGGAAAACCTTGGTATTGCTAGACCTCTTTCAAAATGGATTAGGGATTTCCTAGTAGGTCGTAGACAGAAAGTAAGAATAAATTCCAAGTGCTCCATCTGGAGACTAGTACTTAGTGGAGTACCACAGGATTCTGGTCTAGGTCTTTTTTATAATGTAAATGATCTAACAAGTATAGTAGTCTCCAGTGTTATTATATGCTGACGATGTAAAGATCTGGGGAGTAATACCTGGAGATACAGAAGCATGTGCTCTTCAAGCAAATAATATGATTAACTGGTCTGAAGAGTGGCTGATGCTTATCAACGAGGTAAAATGTGTCTACATGGACTTTGGGGATTCAAAGGTTAATAGGTACAACATAGTGGAAGTGCCATTATCCTAACGTTGTGGTACGACCCACTAAAGTATCAATATTTGGGATTACTGAACACAGACTGCCCATACGACGATATAGCGAATTGCTAATAAGATATGATAATTCTTCATACATACCTTATCAATTTTTAGTTAGCGAAACACGACTGTCAATACTGGGTTTAAGGAGTTTGAAAAGGTTTAGAGTGGAATTGTATTTAATAGTTTCTGTAGAAATTCGGCGAGACTCGAATTTTGCGACGACCTTTGAACGAATCTTAAATGACCATGACAATTATTAGCCAATCAGAAGACAGTTAGTATAAAGTGAAAATATATTGTAAGTTATGAATTACAGTGGATATTCTTCTTTTACATGATTTGAAATATCCTTGAGTTTTGATGACGGTTCAGAGGTTCTGAATTCATAATACATTTGGTACAGAAACTCGTTAATTGGGTTAGTGGTTAGGGTTGTACCCTAGCTAGGCTACAACCTTTTAAAGGGGAAATGAAGGGGTAAATGCTTTTGTAGCGAAAGGGGAAATAAAGGGTAAAACGCATCAGCATATCGCCTTTTTCGCCTGTCCGGAAGAAACAATGCGTATTATGCCCACTTTCGCCTTTTTGTCGACAAACTACCGACTTATCGCCTAAATATCCGCTGAATTGTCGCATTTTTGCCTAAATGTCCGCCGAATCGTTGCATTTTCGCCTAAATATCCGCTGAATTGTCGCATTTTTACCTAAATGTCCGCCGAATCGTCGCATTTTCGCCTAAATATCTGCTGAATTGTCGCATTTTCGACTAAATATCCGCCGAATTGTCGCATTTTCGCTTAAATATCCGCCGAATCGCCTACTTATGCGCTTAATTGTCTACTTTTCGCCTAAATACACACATTACCTATTTTCTATCCATCGACAGAACCCCAATGGTCTCCTATGTTTGCCTTTATTTTCAGCAACAAACCAAAATATATCTGCATTGCAGTGGAAGAGCGGTAAATTTTTTTCAAAATTTTATTTAAAAACAGAAGCGTATTATTGTACAACAGTAGAGCACAAGCTTTAGCATCGATTGTTATGCATATCCAATGCAATTGCTAATTCATTGTTATTTGAAATTATCTGAAAAAGAAAGAACAGGTTATAATTTATTCATAAGAAATGTGCATTTAATCAAAAGTTCACTGAAACTCAAACACACATTCTCAACACTTCAACAGTTTCCCATGTAAGTAAAAGAGTAAGCTTTTTGAAAGAATAATGTTTATTGAAATCGAGGTAGAACATCAAAACAATTGCACGGACTATTCAGAATTGAGGTAGTCGTCCTGTGAATTCTGAATTTTAAAAAAACCAACAAAAAAAGTCACAACCATTTCTCAATGACATGCTTTTGCACAGCCAAATACTTGAAGCATAACTTACGGTTATGTTCCTTAGTATTGTTGACCGTAACTATAGAGCCGTAGGGAGGTTATCACTTTAAATTAGTACATACGTGATTTTCTTTTCTTCTATTTCGTTTTATCATCTTGTCTCGGAGGTCGTGAAAGTAACCTTGTGTCGCGATGTCATAGAGCTTACCAATTTCTTTCTCGTTGACAAAAAGCGATGAGTTAAGGCACCTGAAGTTTAAGTTATAGATGTAGGTTACTTCGTATGCAGCTGTAAAACGTGCATTTCTGTAGTGCTCGTTTTGAAGAGGTGCCAAGTAACGTGAATTTACTGGCAACCTCCGGTGTCAACAGATGCGACAGAACAAAACGCATGGACGTTTTTGGATCGTCACCTGATAACCTAGTGACCATTGCCATCTGTAATAGTAACAAACTATTAAATTCATGTAAATGACTTACAAATCTGTCCCTGGTTTCTTTCTGCGACAAACCAGTATCTAGCATCTGTAGTTCCTCTTCAGATGACAAAGGGGAACTGCTGACTTGACAGTCCGCAATCGAATTGATGCGGTCTTTCGCGCTCATTAGACTTTGAAAGCAATTGGTTTACATTAACATTCAAGTCCATAATGGCGGACGATATGTTGTTAATCGTTTTAGTCAAGTCATCGATAGCTGACGACATGTTCAGCACCACAGTATACAACCTATCACAGGTGAAAAAGGTCACTAGATGATGCAGGTTACTTACTGGTCCACTACAGCGCCACCAACATGCTTACATTCCGATGTGGATGGTGATGTCTCTAATTGTGTCGAAATAAATCGCGAATATCTAAATAGTAATTAAACGTACTTGGCGATTGGCGATAATAATTTTTCGAAAACACGGAATTTGGGATATTGTACGCGGCTATTCCCAGCCTGCATCTCAGCCACATCCATGTCGACTGAATTGTAAAGAAAATCTTCTTTACGCTTCGTTACACCTCTAGGAAATGTTAGTAAGATTATTGTACAGACCTCTTTGGCTTCTCAGTGTTAAGTGGCAAAGTGTTTTCATCCGTTGAGGTGTTTTTCCGTTGAGATTCCAGTATCTGTAGGGCAACTAACAGATCTTTTGCTGACTGCAGAGAATCTATAGTGAATTATGTTTTCTGTGTATGTAACCTACGTAATTCGTGAATCACTTTACATTTCATAAGTGACCAATTTTCATTCGGTTGGTCGCACTTCTGAAGGTGTATATCGACAAGCTCGTTCGGATAAGCGCAAAGTTCCTTGCCTATTATCCACTCCTTGGATGCTATCATCAGTTGTTTTTTGCTGAGGACGTCAACAATGACGTACTTCTTGTTAGCGGGCTGAAAATAACATAAGACGTAAGTAAATTATTTGTCGCCATTTATTCAACACTAGTGAAACAAAATGCATTTACAGCCAAGTATGCAGCAATGCGATAGGAACTAGATAATTCATACAATTGATGGCCATACATTTACAATCTATGTCGTTAACCGAGATCCAGGTGTGTTCATGGCTAACTACGGAGCACCTACAGATTCCAATATCAGTAGATGGGAAAGGATCGTCAAAGTAATTGCGTGGGTCAGTGAAAGTCCTAAATTTTAGTAGTCCATCCTCCTTTATATCAGTGACTAAACCTGGCTGGCCGTTCACTATTACTACATTATCAGGCTGACATGAAGTGATTTTACTGTTGTTAAACATAATTACTTGTTTAGTGGAAACATCATTAGCGCCTATTGGGGTAGTATTTGTTAAGCCACTAATTTGAAGCCTATCGCTGAAGGACATTCTCTCAGCATAACGCTGTGCTGCTTGCTTAGCTACTGCAAACCCACTACGCACGGATTCCTTAATTTGTCTCATATAAGACTCGAATGGAAAGGCTGAAAAACTATCTAAAGGTCCATGTGCACGAACGTCGTCAGGGAGGTGCTGTAACGATTGCACATTGTAAACTAAGTTTTCACACCCATAATACCATGCGTATTCATTTAGGAAGTTTAGTAAATCTAATTTGGCGGTTTCTACAACAGTTTTATGTAATTTGGGATGTGCAAGCAGATACATGGATAACGCTAAACGCCGGAAATTAAGATAAAAAGGTTTTGGCAATATCTTTTCAAGAATCACCGAGGCCTAAATACAGAAGGAACAACCTACATTCAGAAGCTTTCCATGCCGATACAAAGTCCAGTGTACGGCATTTACGGGGAAAGTCAGAAGGAGTACTTGCCACACAACCGGATATTAAATTATTTATGTCTCTAATTGCACATGAGTTAAAGTTCCGCAATCTTCGGAGTGCTAAATATATCCATAAATTAGCTAGTTTTTTGGTAACACCAAGGTACACCATATGCATAGGACCTAGAGGAAAAGTTACAATCATATTAATAGAAAGCGTTTCCATTATAGAATGTCCTTGATGGTGAATTGAATGAGTCTGACGACGGAAAGTGTCATCTGTTCTTAGAGTATATGCTCCATTTGGAAAGGTCGTTTTTCCCTCCAGCCGTCTCCCAACTACAATACACCTATCGCAACCTGCCTTACCATTGTGGTTTACCGTGTACCTAACAGAAGAACGAGCAGGTGCGTCACATATAACAGCCGCCAACCTAATAGCTATACATTTATTAAATTTAACACTAAAAGGACCCACGTCTGTCATATCTTTTATTTCAGAAATTGTGTCCGCAAAAAATTCGTTGAATTCTGCCGGCTTACTATTCCCTCCGTAGACCCCTATCAGGAACACGTCACTAGACATAGAGGCAATGATCCGTCCTAGTATAGGCCATAACTGTTGATTGGAGCTTCTAGACATAGAAAGTTCATCTGCATTGAGATATAAATGTAAAGAGTCAAAATTAATAATACGCAACCAAAGCTCAACGTATCTTAGCAGATTGGTTTTCAATCTTGGATGGTAGTAAACCCCACTGCCGATAAACTTTGGTTGAACACTTGGACACGTCTTCAGGACACCTCTTATGCTTTTCGGTATGTCCTGGTACGGCCGAGAGTGGGGAGAGTCCGCTCTCCCTCTCGAAATACTCTCACACGGCCACGCGTATACAGCCTCTGCCAGGGAAGTCCTACTCATTGCCTTCTCGTGGCGGGGGTGTTGTTTACGAAAATGAGAGGACGAAAAGCGAATGTCCGGCGCTTTAACCGGATTCCAAATCAATGGTGCACATGGGCTCCAGTATCCTGCGGGAACGAATGGCGTATGAACCAATCGTTGGTCACCGGCTACCATGGGACTGCATCTCCTTACGATGCTCCACTGCCTTGTGGGTTAGACCTTTAGGTCAAAGGCTCGGGGAGTGGCCCCCTAAGATAACCACCTGCTTCGGTTTGGGCACCCGAGCAGTATCACAGCCCACACACAAATGATGAACTCTTTATGTCTATGGAAATTACTTTTGTCGCTTTGAAAAACAATCAATCGATTCAAATTATGATCACTACAATTTTTGTCATTATTAATACTAATATTATTATTACTACTATTATTGTCATTATTGTTATTATTGTCATTATTATTATTATTTTCCACATTATTCACCTTCTTTTATACTTATACAGCGGCTCGTCTTTGGTGGAAATTCGACTGTATCTAAACGTTCTCGAGTCACCGTCCGGTTGAAAATTGTATGTTACCACCGAATACGAGGACTGAAGCAGATTTTCTGAAACCACGTGCATCATTCAAACTGGCTGCCTTCAACGTTCGCACATTTATGCAGGTCGGACAACAGATAGGGCTGGCTATGTCTTTGGAAAGTCTTAATATCGACGTGTGTTGTCTATCCGAGACCCGTATTAAAGACTCTGGCGAAGTACTACAAATTCGATCTCCATCTGTCGCTTCGAAAAGCTTGTTTTACGTGCGCTTATCCGGGGACCCTGTGGCATCTTCGTCTGGTCTTGCTGGCGTTGGTGTCGCACTAAGCGCTAGAGCTGGGGCAGCACTAGTCGATTGGATCCCCATTAACAGTCGGTTATGTGCTGTTAGATTAGAAAGTTCCATCAAAGTGAGAAGAAATCGGCGTGAGAAAAGATGTCTTTTCGTCATCTCCGCCTATGCCCCGACAGATTGCAGCCCGGATGCAATCAAGGATGAGTTTTACCACCAATTATCAGTTCTTCTCCAGAAAGTGCGTTCGACAGATATTCTAGTACTAGCCGGAGACTTGAATGCTCAAGTCGGGCGTCTAGGCACAGAAGAGAGTCGTTTAGGTGGCCGATGGGGACTCGTTGGTCGCAGGTCAGATAACGGGGACCGTCTACTGCAACTTTGCACAGACCACAACCCGTTTCTGGCTAGCACTAACTTTCGGCACAGTCATCGCCGATGTGCCACCTGGCGTCCTCCCTCTGCATCTCAAGCCTGGACTCAGATTGATCACATCGCGATCAGCTACCGCTGGCGTGGTTGTGTACAAGACTGCCGCTCCTTTTGGAGTACCTATCTGGACTCTGACCATGCCTTGGTCTGCGCCAATCTTGCCTTACTTTTCAGTGGACAACGAAGTGAACGCCATCAACGGATTGATGTTAGCAAGCTGGTTGCAAATTCTGTTGCAAGTAAGTATCGAACTGAGCTAGCCTCTAGGCTAGCTACCACTCCACCGAAAAGTATAGATGAGCATTGGTTGCAATTGCGTGACGCCATGAAAATGGCGGGAACAGTCAGTTGTGGGTTTGCGAAACGTCCCGCTTTTAAGCACTGGGTTTCTTCTGGTTCCTTACAACTCATTGAAGCCCGTCGGTCTACTCCGGGTGACCGTGAGTTTGACCATAAACGAAGGATGTTACGTAAGGAAATTGGGCAAAGCTTGCGTAAGGACCGAGATGCCTGGTGGTCGATGCGTGCTAATGAGCTGGAAGCAGCAGCTGCATCTGGTAACTACCGGAAGCTCTTCCAGCTCATCCGAGCCACTGGCAGCAAGAAGTCTGGTGTGAGTGAAACAATCTGCGAGGATGATGGGATGCCAATCACTAACATCCATCGACGTCTTGGACGATGGGCAGAATTTTTCGAAGGGCAGTTCAACTGGCCTGCTGCTCCGGCAACATCGGTCAGACTGTCCTGCCCTCCATGGCCGGTGACGACTGATCCACCAAATGAGGAGGAAGTCCGCAAGGAACTCCAACTCTTGAAGCGTTACAAATCACCTGGCCCAGATGACTTACCTCCGGCTCTTTTTAAAGATGGTGGTGACTTTTTGACTAAGGAATTGACGACGTTGTTTACAAAGGTTTGGGAACTAGAGAGTGTACCAACGTCATGGAATGAGTCGATAGTTGTCCCTATCTTTAAAAAGGGTTCACGTCGTTCTTGTAACAACTATCGGGGGATAAGTTTACTTCCGATTGCGTCCAAGCTATTGGCTTCCGTCATTCTTCGTAGGTTGTTCAAAACCCGAGAAAGATTGACTCGCGAGGAGCAGGCTGGGTTTCGTTCTGGTCGAGGATGTATTGATCATATCTTCACCCTCCGCCAAATGTTAGAACACCGCCATACTTTTCAAAGGCCAACAATCGTAGTGTTTCTTGACATCAGGGCTGCCTTCGATCCGTTGGATAGGACTGTTCTCTGGGATTGTCTATTGAAGAAGGGTGTGCCTGAGAAGTTTATTAACATCATAAAAGCCCTGTATAAAAACACCTCAGGCAGAGTGAGGGCATACAACCACCTCTCTCCATTGTTCCATTCGAGCAGTGGGGTTAGGCAGGGTTGCCCAATCTCACCATTCCTCTTCAACTTTGTCATCGATGACATTCTGGAAACAGCTCTGATGAATGTAAGTAATGGTGGTGTGGATCTGTTG